TGAAGAAATTCTTGTATTTGTGGTGTTTACCTTTATAAGCTAGTTTCACCCTTCCCTCCGGGCCTGAATCTGACTAAGGGACCACAGACAGCTATAGCCCTAATAAATTTGACCAATTAAAATCTGAATTGGGTCTGGTGGTCTTTTCCTGGTGGTTTCAAACTCTGTAACAAAGTAAGCAGATGGCCTATGTAGGACAAGAAGAAAGTACCACCTAAGATGGGGGGATATAAAGCCAAACACATCAGCAGTCACAATGAAAACAAGTAGACAATGGATACACTGATTAAAGGACAGATTTGAATGTGATCTCAGTGCTTTGGGAGGCTGAGGAAGGGGGATGGTGAGTTGGGGGCCAGCCTGGGCTTATATAGAGAGACCCTGTCCACTTCCCACCCCAAAAACCTCACCCCAGATTTTAAAGTTAGATAAGAAAGTTAATCTAGATACATTATATTTGTAAAAATAAACCAAAATATATCACAAGACAGAGAGCTCTTGGGGACCCCCAGACGTGCACTGATTAATGCATCTCTCAACTCTCGGCAGAGAAGCTTCCTTACACAGCAGATGGTGATCAACACAGAGACCCACAACTGGCCAACGTGCAGTAAATAGGAGGCTGCACACTGCTTATCCCTGAATAGGACACTGAAATCAAACTTCTGTCTCCCAAGGCTCAGGGATCATTATGGAGGAGAGGATGGAAAGACTCTAAGAGACAGAGGAGGTAGATGACCACAAAGAGAGTTTTCTAGATAGCCAGTCTGTTATTCATATGAACTCAAAGCAATGCTGACATCACGGACAAGTCCCATGCAAACTCAAGTCAGACAAAATCCCAGCAAAGAAGTGGGGAAATGGGTAAGAAACTCCAACCCTATCCAAGAAACTACTAGCAACCAATGGCTGCCAGGAAGGGGAGAGTCTGTCTTATTTAAGGGTGAAACTCAGGTTGACTAGGCTCCAGTGAATGAGCCCACACCGAAGGGCATTTGGGGACACAAACTTGACTCTATAGGCCTTTGTATGGAATTCACAAAATATAAACAAAAAATTTTAATTTTATTTATTATTTCTATTTTATGTGTATGCATGTATTGCCTGTGTGTAGGTTAGTGCACCTGTGTTGTGCAATGCCCGTGGAGGTCAGAAGAGTCTGTCAGATCCCCTGGGACTGGAGTTATGGACAGTTGTTAGCTGCCATGTGGGTGCTGGGATTTGAACCTGGGTCTTCTGCAAAAACAACCAGTGTTCTTAACCACTGAGCCATCTCTCCAGCCCCATAAATAAAAAATTTAAAAAACACACCAAAAACAGTTGAAAGCAAAAGGCCAGGAAAAGACGTGTACATCAGAGGAGTTGGTATATTATTAGGCAAAATAAATTTAAGGGTAGTGTTCAAGACAAAAAGGGTCATTGCATAATGATGAAAGATTCAATTTACTAGGAAGATAACCTTAAAAATACATGGGAGATGACTGGTGAGAACACAGAGACCAACTGTTGCACAGCTGTTCCTTTTGGACTGAAACTTTGCCTCCTGAGGGAGGGGGAGGCTCATGAAACACACAAGAAATGAGATGCAGGAAGTTCTGGAAACTTGGAAGATTCACAAGACCCTCCCCAAGATAAACAGCTGCTGAAGAGAGCAGAGCTATGTGCAGGTGGTGTAGGGCACATGACTGTGAGCCATGCTGCAGTGGGATTTTTGGTGATGCAATTACCTGAGAGAGTAGCCCTTGCTCCTTCCTGTAAGTAACCCCAATGAGCTCACTGGTTTACCAAGCTGAACTTGGATGGCCTCTTTTTATTAGTCTGTAATAACAGACTCTCTGAGGTGAATAAAAAGAGGCTCCTCAGAAAAAGTAATGCAACACTAGTAACACCCACACCATGAAAGGAAATTTGATCTCTGCTCTCTCTGTATTTGACAGACCTAGCAAACAAAAAATTAGCAATAGGACTGGGAGATAGCTCAGTGGGCAAAACTATTTGGCATGCGAGCACGAGGGCCAGAGTTTATATCCAGCACCCAGGTAAATGCTGGACAGCTGTGGTAGCCTGCCTGTAATCTACTGCTTGGGAAGCAGAAACTGGATCCGCAGAGAAGGCTGGTGAGCTGGACTAGTTCAGTCAGTTAGCTCTGGGTTCAAGAGACAGACCCTACCTCAATACAAAAAATGGGGAGTGGCTGAGCAAGACACCTGATGCCAATCGCTGTCTCCACACACATGCACACACGTGAATATGCACATGCACACATATGCACATACAACATGCACAAACATAAAAGAATACAAATGATCTAAACACAGAATGTTAACCAGTTCAGTCTAATCACATGTGTACAATCTCTGTAAAACATTAGCAAACACAAACATACAGGAAATCTGTTAAAATTACGAACCACTAGACCATTTAGGCAGCTTCAGCAAACATGAAAGGATGACAAACCCAGTGGAATTAACTTAGAAATCAATATCAAAAAGAGGTATTTAAAATCTTGTAAGTTTGCAAATAAAATACCCACGTCTGAATGACTCAAGGGTGAACGAATAAACCATAACAAACACAGAAAAGACTTACTGATGAACACTAACGAGGAGACATTATTCAGCGTGAGCAGTGAACTACCACATATTATAATATGGACCTCAGAAGAATTACGCTGAGAAAATAAGCTAGACACAAGGTCTGGGAATATAACTCAGTTGGTAAAGTGCTTGCCTAACACACATGAAGTCCTGGGTTCAACCCCCAGCACTGTATTAACTAGGCATGATGGCACATACTTAAAATTCTAGCACTCAAGAGGTGGAGGCAAGAGGATCAGAAGTTCAAGGTCATCTGGGCTACATGAGACCTTGTATCAAAAAAAAGCTAAGAGATAAAAGCAATATCAATTATATAAAATATCCAGAAAAGGGAAAGTTAAAGAGAGTTGATTGTTGGCTGTCTCAGAATAGAGTAGGGATGGAAAATGACTGCAAATAGGGTAGAAGGTTTCTGGCTGCAGTAATGGAAATTCTCTACAATTAGACTATTCATTATGTGCACACCTGAACATATTAAAAGGCAATGAATTTTGCATTTGAAAATGATGAATTTTATGGTGCCCAAATTTTATTTCAAAATTTTTCAGGGTATGTATATGTGTGCATGGTGTATGTGTGTGTTCACATGGGAGGCTGTACATGTGTGGGGAGTACATGTGCATGTATGTAGACATACACATGGAGATCAGAGGTTGACAGTGGGCATCTTCCTTGATTGCTCTCTTCCTTCTACACTGAGACACAGTCTCTCAATTGAACCCAGAGCTCCATGATTTGGCCTGTCTCTGCCTTGTAATCACTGAGATTAGAAGCAGGCTGCCAAACCCACCCAGCATTTACAGGGGTGCTAGAGATCTGAACTCTGGTCTTCACACTTGCATAGCAAGTACTTTACCTACTGAACCATCTCCTCCAACTCCTGTCTCAAAGTTAACATTCTGTGTAAGCGTGGTATATGCACATGTCTCACTGAACCTGGAACGTACTGTTTTTCTGCTGGGCTGTCTGGTCAGTGAGCCCCAGTGATCTGCCTTTCTCTCCATCTCCCACAGTACAGAGCTGGCATGAAGAGGCTACAGTCTGAATAGCCATGCCCAGCTCTTTATGTGGCTGCTGGGGATCTGAGCTTAAGTCTATATGCTTGTTCAGCAAGCACTCCTGCCATCGAGCCACCTTTCTAGCCCTCTCTAGCTTGAAGGTAAAAAAGATTAAATGCAGCTGTGGAAGGCAATACTTGGGAGTAAAATTAGAGCTCTAATGGGCTGCATTAAAAAAGAAGAAAGAGGGGCTGGAGAGCTGGCTCAGGAGCAAAGAGAACAAACTCTAGCAGAGTTCGCAGCGCCAACACTGGGCAGCGGACCACCACCTGTAACTCCAGCTCCAGGAGGTCTGATATGCTCTTCTGGCTCCCACAGATAGCTGTGCATACGTGCGCATATACTCACACACACACATACATGCATGCACACACATATATATAAATTAAAATTTTTTAAAATTATTTTTTATTTTTTGGCCTTTTTTTGAGACAGGGTCTCCCTGTAGCTCCAGCTGTTGTGGAACTCACTATGTAGACCAAGCTAACCTTGAACTCAGAGATCCATCTGCCTGCCTCTGCCTCCCAAGTGCTGGGATTAAAGGCGTGTGCCACCATGCCCAGCAAAAATTTTAAAAATTTTTTAAAAAGAAAAGTAACAATGGCCTAGTAGTCTAATACAGGACTGTTTCTTTTCCTTTTTTTCTTTTACAGGGTGGTCAAGGGCTCACTCTGCTAGCCTGCAAATTACTATGCAGCCCACACTGGCTTTGAACTCTTTGATCCTCCAGCCTCCTCTATGCTGGGATTACAGGTGTGCTTTATCATGCCTGATCTTTTAATATTATTTTTATTTTATTTTAGTTATTATTATTGTTGTGTGTATGTGTGATGTGTGGGGATGTACACATGAGATAGCAGGCATATAGAGGCCAACCTGGGCTACACAGAGAGTGAAAAGTCAGTCTGGACAATTTAATAACAGTCTCTCAAAATAGAGAGTATAGAAAGGGGTGAAGAATACAGCCAGAGGCAGAGTGCCTGCCTAGCACATGAGATGCCCTGAGTTCAATTAAAAAAAAAAAAAAGAAAAAAAAAATCGGTGATCAAAATCTAGTCATGAAGAAGCAAACTGAAATCTGAGCTGCAGTCCATTCCATAACTGGACTACACTACTGAGAGCAACAACACTGTGCCTCTTCCGAGGTTGTTCAGGTTTTAGCTGTGGGGATAAGCTAGGAAATCAGGCTGAGCCAACTACACACTTAGGTGCTGGAAGTTATGGGGAAGAGAGGCATTAGTTTTCAGCAGTAAGCAGAGCAGAGTGTCAGGATGCTGGGGTGCAGAGGGATCTGCACAGGTGTGCTATGGAGCAGAGGAACAGAGATGGAGGTTTTACTACTTACTTCCCGGATAGCTCCATCACAGACCCGGATGACATTAAGGAATGTGGGCATGACCTGGGGCAGGAACTGTACACACTTGAGCCCCAGGGATTTGAAGATGAAGGTGATGGCCTGGACCACCATGGTGTGATGGTGAGAGAGGGACTGATCTCGGAAGATCCGCATCAGGGCTACCATGGACACAGCTGGGTAGAACTCGTCCAAGGGCAGGTTTCCCATGTTGACTAGCATTTCACTGGTGCTGTAGTCAGCTAGGACAAGGCAACAAAGAAGTCCTAAGTATTCATGCCACGACTCTGACGTTAGGCAAAGCATGGTTAACAGCAAACAAAGCCCCCTTGACGGACATTAGCATTCATACCATTTTCCCTGCTATGTTCTGACACCACTGGGAATACAGAACACAGGGTCCATCAGGAACCGACAAATAGGCTCTTACCATCAGGAATGAAACCGATTTTGGCTTTTCTATTATCCAAACTGCTAAAGTCTAAAACAGTACATGATGAGTGAGTTTTCTTTAAATTGCTAGGTTTAACTTAACTTCTCAGCATTACAGTTCACAACTTTATAGCTAAAACCATCAAAAAAAAAAAAAAAATCACCCCTTCAAATGAAAGTAAAGGGAATTAAATTAGGCAAACATCTGTTCCACAGCTGCGTGGTCCCCCAGGGAATGCAGACAGGTCAGCAGGCATATGCTGACACTGAACAGCAAGGATCTCCAGGTCTCTGTCCCAGGAAAAGGAAAGGGCAAAGAGGCACCACAAAGCAGGGCAGGCAAGAGGCTGGCTGGTGCTGCTGAAGAAGAACCCACCCAGGAAGGACTTAAGGCAGTATGCTCTCGACCACGCTGAGGGGGACTCAACATGGTACACTTCTCTAACACGTAGAAGGAAGAAAAGATCAGAAGCAAAATGATCTCTCCTATCTAAGAGTCTGGGAACAAATCATTTCATTTTGGGAAAATAACATTCTGCTAGACCAGTGAGGATAGCCACTGATGAACCTTCACTTTTAGTGAGAAAAAAAAAAGGCCTGCTCAAGTGCACAGTGCACCAAGAACAGAAACTCTCTTACCCCACCTTCTTCTCCAAACTCTTAGGCTATTTGCAAAAGGCAGTAGGACTCTAGAGCCAGATCAGGTGGAAAAAGGGCTCAGGACTTCAGATTAGTGCTAGTTTTCCTATGTCCTGATTTCTCTCAAATAAAACAGAAAATAAGGGCTATGTTTCTCCTCCCTGAGTACCGGGGAATAAAAAAATCTCAGAGGCATTAACAAAGACCAAGGGACTAGCAGCAGTGACAGGGTGGTAACTCCTACCTCTCTTGTTGGCATCAGAGAGAGTACTGGCTTAGCCCATTAGTCCTTCTCAAAGAATCTGGACAGACATGAGAACTCTGGCTACACTGGGAACAGCATCCCTCCTGATATTTAGGAGGAAACTACAGGCTTTTCATCAGAAAGTTGCTGAGGGCTGGCATGGTGGTACACACCTTTAATCCCAACACTCAGGAGGCAGAGGCAGGTGGATCTCTGAGATTGAGGCCAGCCTGGTCTACACAGCAAATTCCAGGTCAGCTGGGGCTACAGGGAGACCCTGTCTCAAAAAACGCAAAAAATAAAAACAAAAACCCCCAAACAAAACAAAAAGTTGATAAGGCATTCAATATCCTATAATTTCAGTTCTCCGGCCCAACACTTTTCCATTCTATTGCCGGTAAGGGTTTTGGGAGTTCCAACTTGACAAGGAGCTCATGGTTCCAATTTACAGGAAATCTTGGGCCGGGCGTGGTGGCGCACGCCTTTAATCCCAGTACTCGGGAGGCAGAGGTAGGCGGATCTCTGTGAGTTCAAGGCCAGCCTGGTCTACATAGTGAGTTCCAGGACAGCTGGGGCTACTGGGAGACCCTGTCTCAAAAAAGACTGAAAAAAAAAAACAAAACCAAAAAAAACCCCCAACTTACAGGAATCTTGACTTGACTTGGATTCTGACAGGCTGACAGCAGAAGCATCCCGGGACTGGTCAATCATGCCAATGTTCACTTTGTGCTTGTAGGGATCCAGAGCCCCAAGGAGCCCTAACACACGGATAGCCTGGGTGAGACAAGAGACAGAAAAAAAACAGTGTTCACTGTTAACATCTGATCTCAGCAGCGTTCGTAGGAACGCCTCTCCTGTTTTCCGTATTCTTCACTTTATACCAAATGACCAGCTGGATGAGGACAGAGGACAAAAAGCCCAGTCCATGGCGCAGCATGTCAGTGCCATCACCGCCTCTGTCCAATCTCCTAGTAGTCTTTGTAGAGCAGATGCCCATGTTCTCTACCTCTCTCCTCGTGCCCTGGTTCTGTTCAGTCTTCAGAAAATTCAGTAGCACTTCAAGCAGGGTAGGGTACTTCCTGTAGGGCTCCACTACATAGCCAGTGCTGGCCACCAACTGCCCCAGGGTCCACAGTGCCACCTGAATGGATTAAACACCACAGTTCACTGAGCTGGTATGAGAAAAGCAAGCAGAGGTGGACTCAGTGTATCGAGATTGTCATGAAATGTCGGAGGTGATTAGAAGTTTCCAGTAAAATCACTAATCATGAACAGGAATCCTGAGAGTTAGGACACGAAAACACAGCTAATCAAGTATGAATATACAATTACTGGATCAAAAGATAAAGAAGAGAGCCAGTCATGGTGACTCATACCTGTGCTCTCAGCACTTGGGAAGCAGAAGCAGGAGGATTGCTTTGAGTTCAAGACCAGCTTGACCTATACAGTGAGTCCCAGGCCAGCCTGGGCTACAGAATGAGACTCTGACTCAAAAGAACAAACAAAACCCACAAAGAAAGAATATTCCCATTTTCTTAGAGGAAATGCAGTTCTTTCATATCCCAAATGACTAAAAGGAAATACAAAAGGAAATTAAAAATGTTCTTCATTTTAGATTAGTCATCTCATGCCCTCTGATGACTGGGAAGGGCAAGAGGAAGCTGTCTGCCTCCACAAGCAGGGTCCTGCCTGGCTTTCTCCCTCTAAGCACTGGGGTCTCATAGCCAGTCTGCAGTTTCTTCTGTACAGAGGAGACGGTGTTGCTCAGTCTGGATACTTGTGTCAAGTCACTCAGGATCAGGACAACAGCTAATTCTCATTTCAGGGTTTTCTCCTTTTATGTATTCAAGGATAAAGTCAAGCATTTACTGTGTGCCAAGATGTGTGTTTGGAGCACTGACTGGAGACACTGAGGTGAACAAAGATAAACAGGTCCCTTGTCCCCAGCCTGGGCAATCAAGAAGCACTGGCACTCACCTGCCTTTTGGCCAAGAGAGAGGAGTCCTGGAGCATGTCCATGATGATGATAAAAAGCTCATCTACCCACTTCCTCATCTCCAGGCCACTAACCTGCAAAATGGAAAGATGAGGTAGACAGGATGAGAAATTATGGCATTAAAGAGTATTTTGAGATGGGCATGGTGGCTCACACCTATAATCCCAGCACTCTGGAGGCTGGGGCAGGAGGATGGCCATGAATTCAAGAGATTCTGTCTCAAGAAAACCCCAAAAAGAAGCCAGGTGTGGCAGTACTTGCCTTTAATACCAGTGCTTGGGAGGCAGAGTTCAAGGTCAGCCTGGTCTGCATAGCAAGTTCCAGGCTAGCTAGGGCTACAGGGAGACCCTGTCTCAAGAAAAGACCGCCCCCCCCCAAAAAAGGCCTTTCTCCAGGGCAAATCGATTGTACCCTCCGCACCTTGACTCCCCCAGCCTCATTCACCCTCCCATCTCCCCCGCCCGTCTCTCCTCCTGGCCTGGGACCTGTCCCATTCCTTGTCTTGGTGCCCCAGGCACCGGGGGGAACCACCACTGCTTCCTGATCCTTTGCATCCAGACCAACCCAGTTCCTTCTGGGGTCCACAGGAGCCCTCTGGCCTGGCCCCACCCTCACCTCCCTCTGCTTCCCTGGGCTGCACAATCCGCCAGCCTCTTTCCTGGATGCCAGGGCTGACCTTTCTGCTTCCTGATCCTTTGCAACCAGACCAACTCAGTTCCTCAGTGCAGTCCCCAGGAGCCCTTGGGACCTCTTCCTGCACCCATCTCCCTTTGCATCTCTGGGTGGCACGGCCACCAGCTGCCCTAGATGAGCATCTTTCCTGGGCCCTGCTCCCAGGCCAGTCCAACCCCCAAATTCCTGAGGCCAAAATCTTTCCTGGAGGGATCCAGACCTTAGGAGAAAGCCTGAGAGTACCTGATCCTCATCTGACTTGGGCGCTTGTGGGAACTCCTGAAGACAAAAGCAATCTAGCCACTCCAATATGAGATCAAAAGACAGAACTGGAAGCTTAGAGGAACCAGCTTTTCATGCCCAAAAAGTAAACCACAAAGACACATGAAGTTTACAAAAAGAAGCAGACCTAAACTTGAAGGCTTGAGTCTCACACAAGAA